GTATATATATGTATATATGTATATATATATATGTATATATGTATATATGTATATATATATGTATATATGTATATATGTATATATATATATATGTATATTTTTTTATGTAATTAAAACGGAACAGTAGAGAAAATCCGATCAGAATGACAAAATAAACTAAGCATCCACTGGAAGGAATCCCAATATTTGCAGACGGATCCGTTTCGGCCTTCCATGCCTCATCAGTGCAGCTAGGGTATAGACCCAAACGAAACGTTCGACCAGCTTAGGTAGGGCCCTAACTAGTCCCACGACCACTAATGATTACAGAGCCAAACCAAGGCAATATATATACACAGCCCAAGTGCTGTAAATAGTAAATATTCTTGTTTGCCGCAATGGAGAAAAATAGGCCCCCTGAACCCCAGGAAAAATCAATGAAAATCTGGTTTTATGTTTTAGCCACTTGCATATTTAGGCCACTTGCAATTACAGCCCTAGGCCCAAGAGCGTCGATCCGTGGTTAAAAGTGTGGTGGGGGGGGGGGGACAAAATGAAAAAAGGCCCAAGTCTTGGTCGGGTACAAGGGGCGAAGCTCCCGAGAAGCCCTGGCGTTTATAGCTTTTTAATTGACGCAATTAACATTTATTTCCTTACGAATTTTTCAAAATATCTAGTGGCAGTTTCAGTAATTTGAAATAGAGCTGGGCCCAGAGAGGGACTTTTTACAGAAGGAGAGTGCAGACCACCTCAGCCCCAACCATGGTTGGGGCTGAGGTAAAAAACTTTATGATTATGGCACCTCTAGTTGGTCGGAAATGGCACTCTCAGACTAAATTTGAATATAAATTTCATTTTTTTCCACTTCCAATTTCAAAAAAAAAAAAATTAGGGATGGTGGGCCGGCTGGGCCCCTTGAATCTGCCACTGAAATACTCATCGTAAAAAGTTTTTAAAATTATGCTTTTAGTCATAATTATGCCCGCTTATATATTTCATGCAAACTAACATTCATAAAAATAATGATTAATTAACTACTGATTAGCTTGTGACGTATTCAAAATTCGAACCATGAAAAAAAAATAAGATTAACTAAAAAAAAAAAAAAAAAATTGGTTCGTGTGGGGTTCGAACACATAACCTCCAGGTTTGCTATTCATTATCCACCATCAACTAAACTGCCTTAAAAAATAAAAAAAAATTGGTTTGTGTAAGAATCGAACACACAACCTCCAGGTTTGCTATTCATTATCCGCTATTAACTAAACTGCCTTAAAAAAAAAAAAAAAAAAAAAAATTTGGTTCGTATGGGAATTGAACACACAACCACCAGGTTTCCCGTAACATGATTGGTCTATTTTTTTCTAATTTGCATAATGATTTTTTCAAACATTTTTGTCTATTTAAAAAAAAGTGCGTAAGTTATGAAGATAGTAACAATAAAAAATCTATTATAAATTTAATTCTACATTTTTAGACAAAAAATTAACCCTCTTGGCCCACGGCCCATTTTTGACACTATTACCATGCGTATTATTAACCTGTAGTGTATATATACAAAGAATTTTTTCTAGTAGGATCAGAGTTGACTAAGTGGTACTTGGTCGCATTTATGGTTTAGGGGCCGCGGTTTACCTCCCTCCGTTTAGTCAGGCTGGATCAGGAGTAGTAAACTCGGCGATCGTGGGTTCGATTCCCACACGGGGCAAGATTTTTTTTATTTATTTTTATTTTTTGATTTTCTTTTTTTGAAGGTCGTGAGTTCGATTCTCACATGAGCCAAGTTTTTTTTTTTTTTTAAGGCAGTTTAGTTGATGATGGATAATGGATAGCAAACATGGAGGTTGTGTGTTCGATTCCAACACGAACCATTTTTTTTTTAAAGCAGTTTATTTGATGGTGGATAATGATTGTATTGTACTCGTTGATGACGTCGCGAAATAACAACAAATAACAACCTGTCATGTCCGAGCCTAGGCCGTCATGGAAGCTCACTGGCTCCTGTGCATGGGCTTCGATCCGTTGTGAAAATTGGGGGGGGGGGACGAATTGCAAAACAAGGAAGTCCTGCTTGGGGGAAGGAGCCCCTTAGGGTCCCGATGGCTGTCCAGGTGACAAAGCCCCTGGAAGCTCTGGCGTCTATCACCTTTTATAAGTCGTATGTAATTGATTTTAAGGAATGCAACTAAATTTTATTTCCACACACCATTTTCAAAATACAGTGGCGGATGCAGTGGGTGGGGGTCAGATTTCGGCCATACTATGACACTTTAAAAATACAGTGGCTAATCCAGAAATTTTAAGATTATGGCACCTGTAGTTGGCTGGAAATGGCACTCTCAGACCAGGAAACAGTTAAATTAGTAAGCCTAATTTACTGTTCCCTGCTCAGACTTAATTTGAATATAATTTTCTTTTTTCTCCACTTTAAAATTTTGATAAAAAAATTAGAGTGGGTGGGCCGGCTGGGCTTCCTTGACTCTGCCATTGAAATACTTTTTATTTTTTTTTTTTCAAAATTTATCCTGGTAGTCTTAATCATGCTCACTTAAATATTTTGTGCAAACTAACATTCATAAAAATAATGATTTATTATCTACTGAGTTTTGATGTATTCCAACCATGAAAAGCAAATCACTCCAATTCTATAGTCCAGTGGTTCTCAACTATATCGCAATAGGGGCCAAAAGTGTTCATGGAATACATTTGAAGACCCAGAAAAAGAGGTGTACTGTGCTGTGTAGCGCAATCGGGGTGCCGCAGGTGCGAGCCGAGGGAAGGTTTGGGAGGTGGTGGCCCCCTTCACGAATTAGAAATTGCTTGAAAATAGTAAGCCACTAGACGCTCATACAGGACATCTTGGCCTAAGAAAGTTAACCTTGTGTTTGGTAATGTAAAATTCAAAATGTCATAGGCCTATATCACACAATGGGTCATTGGTAATATTTCTTTGCTGTTTGCTACGATAGTTTTCGATAGTTTTTCTGATTTGATCGATTAAATCGCTACAATTTTTGGGCAATACATACAGTAGTCCTAGTCGGCAAAACAGAATAAATCTAAAAATCTAGGTCCAAGCCTAACGGAAACTATTATTTTTGGCTTGTTCTCGAGTACCGGAGACGACCATAGGCCGCCAGTTGAGAACCCCTCTTTGCATGTACAGTACTTTTAAAATCTGATGGTGTCTGGTGGTTCACGAGACTCACTTTGCAGAAAAAAATAAATTTCTGAATTTTACTCAAATTTTCATTTTGTGCACCTTAATCCAGCATTGTCAAAATCACAGTTTAATGTTATATAAGAACATGGATATTTATAACAAAAAAACAAAAAAAAAAGTCGTAAATTTTAATTTGCTAAAACTTTTTATTTTGTTGGTCAATTTTCAAGAATCAAATTGTAGTTTTTAGAATGCAAAAATTATTAAGGTTAGAAATAGTTTCTTTGTACAGTACATTTAAAATTGATCAAGAGAGGTTTTTTTCCTTTTCTCCTCTTTTTGAATTTCACTTTTGTGCAAGTAGTATTGAGACTACACTATTGTGAGTGGAAATACTGCAGTCTAAATTACGATCAAACGGGACTCTGAAGAGATTGGATGCACACAAAACATCAGTTAGCATTTTTATTTCACATAAAAGGTGATTGACTTAAATAAGTTGAAATAGACAGACCTATCCGTGTCAAAGGCTGTATAAAATAATTGTTTAATAAACTTGGCCTCTGATAACCGTTGCACCCATAAAATCGATGGAGTGGTTACTGAGATGGTTACGAAATGTACAAATAATTGCAATTTTACTTAATATTAGTCTGGAAATACGCACCTCACTTGGAACAGAGCACAAGTTCAGAGACAAAATTCATAACAGGCATTCGTAATTTTTATTCTTTCCACTCGCTTTCAATAGTGGGGTTTTAACTATAAAAGATTGGTGAAAAGTGGGGGGGACAATTGATATGATGTCTCCCCCCACTTTGAAAAGTGGGGGGGACGTGTCCCCCTGTCCCCACTGCTCGACGCCCATGCCTAGGCCCCACAGCCCTTTAATCTGGCCCTCCCCAGTAGGGGAAGGAGGTGATGTCTCCGAAAAGAGCGTAAAGTAGATGAGGCCAGGGCCATGTGCATCCCAACACTTTAAAGGGAGTGTAGACAGAACTCCCCCCACCCCCCATGGAATCTCCAAAAATTTTAAAATGTAGGGATTTGAAAGGCATTCTACTGTATTGCTAAGACCAGGGAGTTGTTAAGACGTTATTGAACATTCTCGAACAACGCCATATCAACTGGAAGGGAATAGACAGGTTGAGAGGTTCAGTCGTACGATTTTGAACATGCTAAAGACAGAAGAAAATCAGAAGTGCCACTGATGCGGCTGAGTTCACCCCACGTCATCATGTATGCTGAAAAACACTCACAGAGTTGGTGGTTGACCAAAAGGAAGCTGTAATACCAAATACAGATGATCAGATCATCATGAAACTTCAAACAATGTAGGGTTGGGTGGTCATTAAATAACCTTCTATTGCTAAGACCAGGGAGTTGTTAAGATGTTAATACAATAATATTTAATTGAAGTTTTCTCTTGATAAACCAATACAAATTCAGTAGGCTTACTTGCTACATTTCACCTATGGTTTCAGTAGCCTTGATCTTGTAAATTATGTAACAGTGTAGTGTCATCATCCATCAACATTACACCCGAATATCCGGAGGGCAGCTCAAGCGGAAGCTGACAACAGGAAGAGAGATGGCACTACTAGCCACCATGATGGATGACGACACTACACCATTATGTTATTCCCATTATGTCATTCGCATGATTAAGGATACTGAAACCGTACTGTAGGTGAAACGTCACAAGTAAGTCTAAATTTTTTATTGGTCTTTCAAAAGATAACTTCAATTAACTAATATCTTAGGTATTCTTTAAGTTTATTAGACAGAGCAAAATATCAATATAAAAATGATGGTTCCCAAAGAATATAACACTGAATAAAGTTTATAATTAAAGAACATGTACAGTATTTGCACTATGACATGTCTTCAGTATATTCCTGAAATTGAAGTAGACTTGTCTCCGGTATACATATTTCAGTAGCATCTTCATCTATTGTCTGTTCACAGGCAACCTCTTTTATAGTTTCTCTTTGTATTTGCTCAATGTTGGAATCTTCCGTATCACTATCAACAGAAACACTTGAACGATTCTTTGTGTACTTTTTTACACCCTCTGAACTTTTGGAAGATTCATCTTCATTATAATTTCCACAATATTCCACCAAAGCCAAATTATTGAATTTGTCTTTGTAAAAAAATGTTGTCACCCGTTTCTTATAATTATAATTGGATTTTAATTTTGTGTAATATCTATTCATCTTGATAATTTCATCAGGTAACGGCTGTGGATCTAATGGCTTCCAGACTCTTTTCTTCTTCATAGGTCGTGACTCAGTGCAGTACAGACCATTTTTTAAATTTACAGATTTCAAAGATCCTTGTGAAGACATAATAAATGTAGTAAAGACTGTGCTTCCCTGGCTTCCATCCCAAACTAAACCATCTGGATATGAGGCCCGTTTGTTCATACTCCGTCTCTTGAAGTTTTCATAATTGTCAATGAAGAGATATACATTGTTTTTTTCTCCAAATGGTATAAAATCATAGATAAAAGGATTTGTAGAGAACTCCTCAAAAGCTTGATCAGCGGTTAAGAATTTTCCAGGAGTTGGCAAACTCTTTGGCATATATATTTCAGTAGCTTCTTTATCTATTGTCTGTTCACATGCAACCTCTTTTACAGTTTCTCTTTGTACCTGCCCAATGCTGCCATCGTTATCATCACTCTTCCCAGGAAGGTTTGATAAATTTTTTGAGTGCATTTTTACATCTTCTGAACTTTTGAAAGATTGAGCTTCATTATAAGTTCCACAATACTCTACTAAAGCCAAATTATTAAATTTGTTTTTGTAAAAAAATGTTGTCACCCGTTTCTTATAATTATAATTGGATTTTAATTTTGTGTAATATCTATTCATCTTGATAATGTCATTGGGTGATGGCTGCGGATCTAAAGGCTTCCAGAGTCTTTTCTTCTTCCTAGGTCGTGACTCAATGCAGTACAGACCATCTTTTAAATTTACCGATTTCAAAGATCCTTGCGAAGATCTAATAAACGTACTAAAGACAGTGCTTCCCTGGCATCCATCCCAAATAAAATCATCCGGATATGAGGCATGTTTGTTCATAAGCCGTTTCTTGAAGTTTTCATAATTGTCAATGAAGAGATATAAATTATTCTTTTCTCCAAATGGTATAGAATCATAAATGGAAGGACTTGAAGAGAACTCCTCAAAAGCTTGATCAGCGGTTAAGAATTTTCCAGGAGTTGGCAAACGCTTCATCTCCATTGACCCTTGAATAAACATTGACGTTATTGACATCCTTTTCTTGTGTTTCTTCTTTGAGTCACTGTCAGAATTTTTATTTCGTTCCTGAAAGAGTAATATATTGAATGCAATGGTAACTCTAGAAATTTGTAGACAGGGAGGACAACAAGTCTAACAGGCTTCATGGATAGGTTTTCATTGATATAATTTTTGTAAACACAAACTATTATTATTCTCTTGATGAAAATTGAAGCACCTCAATTAAAATGTTAAAATTTTAATTGAGGAAATCACAAACCTAGGGGTTCCGGGCATGCCGCTGTGAGATGCCAGAAAATGACCTCTGAAACATTTTGGGCGATCAATTATTTCTCTTCCTTTTATTTGACTTTTTACTTTCCAAAAGGGGGTTCGGGGCTGGCCCAGCCCCATTTAAATCCACCACTGTATGTGGTGTACTGCACTGTTACTTTCAACGTAATCTTTACCATTTGGGTAATCACAGATGTGTTAAATATAAAAGCTCTGTCCACACTATTATTAAATCTTATGCAACAAATTTGTGTGATGTGCCCATAGATGGGCATGATGTCATCTTACACCCAAATATGGGCATATCACATTTATGTGTCACGCAAAATTTGATAGTGTGGACAGAGCTTAAGAGAATCTATTAATAGGAAGTTTTCGCCGCACGACGTTAACCTTAACGTATGACGTCATAATTTATTCATCTTGCGTTGCGGAGTACGTTAATTTCAGGATTTTATGTGCTCGAGGAACTTTTGTTACGGGTTTGCGCATGCGTATTTAGATGTGTTTACAAAAGGGGCAGAGCTATCGCATTGCATGTTGGGTACTAACGTTAAAGTTAAGGTTAACGTCGTGCGGCGAAAACTACCTAATTGGTAAAATACAACTGCAGATATTTGATTTTTCTTACTGGTTTTGAGTGTTGAGAATTTTTCAATTCAGTTGACAATATCTTATTGTTGATTCTGCTCTTCTTGTGTTTTTTCTTCTTACGCTTAGATTTCATTGAATCAGCTGATTCATCCGATTCCTAATGAAAGTAAAAATTACATTTGATTGTTATTTTCAGAACTATATACATGGTGTACAGCAAGCATTTATCCCATTTTTACAAAATCATAAAAAATCATTGAATCAATTCCTAATTTAAGAAAGAGGGTGTGGTACCAAAAACCGAAAGAAAATTTTACGAACCAGTTGGAAATTTAAACTGAACATTTGAGATTTTTTACTACCTCACATAAGGTGCCCATAAGGTGTTAGGTTAGGTTTTCAGTAAAATTTGAGATGGTCTTCTAGATGGAAGCTCTGGTTGATTTGGTATGGAATTACTATGGTAGGGTTGGATTGGATTCCAATTCTTCAGTGTGATACTACACACCAAGGATAACAGAGAGACAATCCCCTTTTCCGAAAAGTGTACTGTGTTCTTTAATGTGCATATTGACCATTCTGCACGCTGGATCAATGACTTTAACATCTCATCTGAAAGGTGCACTTTTGAACCTTGCATTTCAGCCCTACAGCGGGAAATCAAGGAGAACAGCATTGGGAATTGAAGCGGGGACCAAGCATCTCCACAGTTCAGTACACAGACAATGGTGACCAAGAGTTTAGCCGGGATTAAAGAACAATGGCATATCTAGAAGTCTTGATATGGCGGGGATGACGGGGGGACACAAAGGTGAATTGGGAGGGGGGGGGGGAGGGAACGATGTTTAAGTATGGGTGAACTAGCTCACAAAATAAGGTGATATGGGGTGATTATTTTGGTTCAAACATTTTCAATGGGGATATACAGGGGAGGGGGTGTTCCCCTTCCTGCTAGATATTCCATTATTAAACAATCACTAGAAAATTTGCAGTTTTTAATAAATGCACACATACTACCCACTACCATCATTTCTTCAATGACTAAATCAGCCTTGAAGACCAATGTTTCAATTAATTAAATTTTGTTATCAATCAATAATTAATCAACTTAAAATTCAAATGTATAATATAATCTGCTTATAAATATTTCTTCACGTATTAATGCAGAATTGGTTAGCAATCAAGCAAATATTAAATTCCATTTCACAAAATAAAGATCACAGTATTGTAGGCTCTGGCCTACTATTGTATTATCCTGTTTACCTTATGAGATCGTTTCCTACTGTTTTTTTGCAGACCAGAAGTGGAAGCTGTAGTCTTCGCAGAGATTTCCATTGCAATTGCTGTTAACTCAAAGATCTACAAAAACAAATGAATATATAAAATACAATATACTTAGTTATCACCACAATACTTTAGGCCAAAAAATATATTTCAATATTTATGTTTATTTCAATTTTGTTATTTTTTCACATAAAGTAATAAAGACATAGGCATACTGTACTCGTACGAATAAGCGCCTCTCCTAGCGTGAACATTTTCTTAAGTGCCCTGTTTAATTAGCGCTCCTCCTAATTTTAATAAGCGCCCTCTAGATGTTTATTCATTCTTTGAAACAATATCATGTGATTTTTTTCTTAGAAAGCCAATAATCCAATCAATCCCAGGACTCTGGTTGGCATGATTTGATCTGTGGAGTGGACTGACATATTCTTCTAATGTCAACTTCAAAATGAGGATGTTTTCTCCTGGACAGATGAGAAAGTATTTTTCCAACTTTCTTCTTCTTACATTTTTCTAGCCCATTTTCTTTCTTTTCCCGACAATTTGCAACTTTTAGCACTTTTTAATTTTGCAAGAAGCCCTGCAATGATGCTGCTAATTATCTCAATCGGCAGATGGTTAACAAGCATCACCACCACCAATTACATCTGCTGTTGTAACTGGCATTCTTCTCAGGAGCCATGCTCTCTGGACGATTTCTTTTCTGCACCAGAACCATTCGTATTAATCTTCGGTTTTCAGATGTCCTTATTAAATCTTTTTTCATTCAAAAAGTGCCCCTTGAATTTTCAAAGCTCCTATAAGAACTCCCAATATTCCTACATCTCCAAGCGCCCCTCAATTTCCACTTTTTTCATAATTGCCCCTCAAAATGTGCAGAAAATATTTTAAGCGAGCAGGCGCTTATTCAAGTGAGTACGGTAATTTCATAATTACTGTAGTTGTTGAATAGGCCAACATATTATGGTCAATTGAAATTATTACAGTATAGATATTTTTAATAATTGATTTATCCAATTCCAAACTTCAAATCTGACTGCAAAACCAATTCTTATTGTAGGCATCTTGCATTAAAACAGTATTCTCCTTTGTCAGTCTACACATATCATATAAATAAAATCTTTCCTAGCTATATGGATCTCGTAATCTAGTAGGCCTATCCTGTAGTTAAAGAGACATTATACTTTATACTGGACTTGATGTAACATTTTACATAATTGGATTGAATTGGATTCATTCGGTGTAAACACCAATGATATCCCACGAAAGTCTAGAAGAAGGCTTATTTCCAGTGGGGTCCTTCTGGTTGTGAATGGCCAGTACACCAGGAGACAATCCCCTACTCTTTTCCAAATTGTGTGCAGCGTTCTTTAACATGCACATGGCCATACAGTATATGCACATGGGACCAACGGCAACATTTCATCCAAAAGACGGTGTGCTTTTGTAACCAGTATTTCAGCCCTCCAGCTGAAACACAAGGAGAGGCAGCGACGGGAATTGAACTGGGGACCTAGAGATCTCCAGGGTTCAGCGCACACACAGTGGCTACCACCAGATTAGCCGACTGAGCTAAGCTGCTCTGTTTAACCATGTTTAACCAACAATACTTGGATAAATTCCTAACTTTAGATCATAAAACACCCATATTGGCCTACAACTAGTTATTTATTTTCGGAACTAAATAAATTTCTTTAAGCTTCCTATTCCTTACCTCTGCAGCATCCATATTGCATATCAATGAGTTGCAACCAGACTAAAATAGAAAGAGACAACACAAAATTAATACTAGATAGCCTATTATTATTTCAGTTTAACCCATCCACTTATAATTTCAAACTGACACACCCGGGGTGGATCCGGGGGGGGGGGGGAAACAAAAGTGGGACCGATCGAGATAACACTAACATAGCTAACATAGGGGGTCTGGCATTCCCCAGCAAAATTTTCGTTTTCTAGACGCCCAAAATCATTTTTTTCTTTTCTTTCTTTCTTGTTTTTTGACTTTCCAAAAGGGGGGGAGGGGCTAAATCCAATTGGAAGATGGTGTGCTTTCATTTCATCAAAGCACAAGCAGAGGAATTGAAACAGGACCAAAAAAATTAAATCATTATGTGGATGAAGTGGCTACCACCAGTTAGCTGCTATGGAGATGGGCTACTCTCACCAGGGAGAAATACATCTCCCTGCTCTCACAAATGCTCCATACAGCAATTTAGAACATGCATGAATAATTGAACAATTTGAAAAAGAAAGCTTGATTCTGCGGCTAGAAGTTGGCAAATTATGGATGGGAACTACTGCTACAGGTATCTATTTTCAATGCTAATTCGAATTTTAAGGAAATTTGCATATAAGAGCGGTAATTTTGAGACTGAAAAGCTTATCGAATTACAGTTCGTAGACAAGCAATGCCAAGACTCAAGAGTGATGAGCATGGGTTTTGTCGTGCCCTTCGTTGTGGCGCCCCATGACTCACTGCTCTGTATATCCGACGTATATAGGCCTAGGTTACGTAGGCCTACGGCCTATTCCTATCTATGATTGACGACTTTGACCAATCTCGACCAAAATGAAAACAACGAAGCTATTATAACATGTCATAACAATATCAGAACTTATACTCACCTGACGTTATTAAAATAGACGTGTAAATAATGAATGAACTTAAGAAACAGGAAACAGCTAAGCCTGGGCCTATCTATGCTCCTAAATAAATTCGCCCAGTTTCCAAGTCTAGCATGTTCAAAGAGGGCGACAAATCCAGCATGCAGTTTGCTTTTCCCCCATGTGGATGATGTTACGAAACGAATGTTGATGCATTTGGTGCAGCTGTGTAAATGTCTTTATTTAAGGGGCTAAATTATGAGCACTTTGTTGCCGGAATCAGTGGTGGTGTTCTTTCTACATTGGTTCTACATCCGTTTGATCTACTCAAAATTAGACTACAAGGTAAACCTAGGTTGAATTTTGTAGGCCTAGGCTAGGCAATCTAGCTGACGAGCTAGGTCTAGGCCTAGGTCCGGAGGAATAGGTCTAGCGTTCCGAGCCATGCTCGGGTTGGATAATGTTGGTAGGCCTAAGTTACTAAGCCTAGTGTGGTATGGTAGGCCTGGGTCCTGACTTTGGCCTAGTTGAGGAGCAAATGATATTATTATGCCTAGCGGATCTTCAAAAGATCTAAAACTGTAGGTGAATAACCTTATTAATAATGATGTTTTGAAAATATATAAAATAATTATTTTAAATTTTGACAAAGGGAAAAAGTAGTAGGCCTAGTAGGCCTCCTAGGAACACAATAGGCCTAGGCTTAAGCTAAGGCCTAAGTAACGACTAGGTCTAGGTAGGCTGGTTTAGTTAGTCTAGTGCGCTGAACCATGGAGATTCCATCCTAGACTTGCTTGTTTTGTTCCTTTAAGTCCCAGTCCTTGTGTCAGCTGAAGGACTGAAATGCAAGCTATATGTGGATCAAATGTGATGCATGGATGCTGAGCATGCAGCTGAATGAAGCCGAGTATTTTCAATATTGATGTATAATATTTTTAAATTTTCTATTTTAGTAAATGATGGAATGCATGTGCGACCTACATATACTGGTTTTGTTCAAGCCTTTCAATCAGTTGTGAAAACTCAAGGATTCTTTGGTTTGTACCAGGGAGTGACACCCAATATATGGGGAGCTGGAGCATCATGGGGGTTCTATTTTTTCTTGTGAGTAAAATGAAAAGTTATATTCAAAGTTTTCAGTTATATTTTGATCAGTTTATTCATATTTCAGATTTTATCTACACTAAATGATCAACCCTCATATTTGTGTTATAATTAAAGCAGGAGTTCCAAGTTGGAAGAAGTCACTTCAGGAGATCTGGTTATGAGCTTTCAGTTTCAACTTTATTCAAAGCTACAAATGCCATCAAGGGCCAATATCCGCAAAAATTACATAACACAAAAGTAAACATACATGCCTACATACAAAACATTGGAATTATTTACAAGGGACTCAGGACAGCGGATTCCAAGAAAAATGGAATAAGAGTGTTCAAAGGTTTAAAATGTTGAAATGGTAACAACTCTCATCCACTTCACACTATGGAATTTGGGGACAAGCTCCAACCCTATGAGCCCTAGTGGCTCGGAAAGGATTCGGTTTACTGGAGTATAATACTATCCATTTTACACCAAAAAGATGCATGCCTCCCTCGAATAAATGCCCCCTCAAAACCCTTCTCAACAATCAATTGTCAATCAATTGTTTGTTCAAATAAATATGGTAAATGTTTAAAGCTGTAAATCCAGGAAAAATTTAATTTAAATTAAGTTTTTCCAGATATCACCACAGATTGAATACATTTCAATATATGCAAATGTACTGTACACAATATAGTAGTGTAGCAATTTAGCATAACATACTTTTCAATCCAGTTGAAACTAGTTTAAAAAATGGAGAAAAGTTCTGAGTCATTCCTCTTAATTGCTACACTTGAATTGTTCATTCCAGTTATAATGCTATCAAAAACTATATGCAAGGGGATGAAGGAAAATCACTTGGTCCAGGACATCACATGTTAGCTGCTGCCCAATCAGGTAAGGTTACCATGCCAGGCCAGTAACAGTAACCAGTTTTATGGGAAAGGCAGTTTTCTATAGGCCAAGTTTGACTCAGAAGTGTTTCTTTAATAAACAAAGAACAATAAAAATTCATTTAAATTCATAACTATACTTCTAATTCTTGTCACTTATTTCCATGAAATTATTTAATGATATTTTTTTTCACTACAGGAGTAGTGACATTATTTATAACGAATCCAATTTGGGTGGTAAAGACACGTTTATGTCTGCAATATGATGGTGTTAGAAAGACAGGTGTTTTGGATGCAGGGGCCTACAGGGGAATGCTAGATGGTCTCCTAAAGATCTACCGTTTCGAAGGTTTAGGAGGTTTATACAAGGTAATCTTTACCTAACATTTTACTTTTACGTACAGTAACAACTCCCAATTATGAACCTCCCAATTACTAACTCTTGATTTTATGAACTCAATTTCAAAAACATTGAACATATGTAGTTGGGAAATTTTGCCTACTGTAGTTATGGACATATTATCGAAATTTAGATACTAAAAAACTTTATCAGTAGTCCTAGACCCAGAAATATATGGTCTGCACATTGTCTTGCATCGAAAAAACAATGGTTTGATTTGGTTTGTCTACATTGTATATAAGGACCCTACTGTAGATCTGGACCACTTAGACTTGTCAGATTTTTGATAAAATTATTGTAAAACATAAGAAAAGTGATCCGTAAATCTTCATCCTCTCCCATTTGTTCGAAAGTCCACAGCATCTGTCACACCGCACCTGTAATTTTGAGCAACCCATATCTTGCACTCAAGGCAAATTAATAGGTACTACGGACAATTTTTCATTTACTATGAAAATTTGAAGACATAGTTATGGAAATGCATTTTACTAACTTGAGAAGTCTGGTGTAGGCCTACCTATCCCTGTATAAATTATAATACTAGGTAGCATAAGCATAGGCCTACCTTCAGCTACCGAGATGCTGTGAAAGTTCAAACTATCTGAATTACAAATTTTCTCAATTACAAACTCTGTTCTGAAGGGAGGGTACGTACCTAACTTATTACTTGTATGCCCAGTGTACAATATACAATATATTTCTCTCTTCTCTTTTCCTTCATTGTTTTTGCAAACAAGCATTTTGAAGTCTGCAACAATAGATTATTAATATATTTCTTACAGGGACTTCTACCAGGCCTCTTTGGAGTATCCCATGGTGCTTTGCAGTTCATGGCATATGAAGAACTAAAAAAAAGTTATGCTTTATATAAAGGTCACGATGTCAATACTCTTCAAGTAAGTGTTTTTTAAGGTTCCGATACCAACACTATATAAATGATTATATTTTATTATAAGTACAGCAACTTTCAACAAGTAAGACAGTAGGACACATATGTTAATCAATTAAGATGTGTTTAAAATAGGCTACACTCTGATACAAACTGAAATCTGAGTATAAATAAGTAGGCTAATAGAGTACTTGTTGAGAGTATGAGTTAATAAGAAGTTGTATGGTTTGTTCATTAGTGAAACAATAATATGTTTTTTCAAGGGAGAAATTGTGGGCAAGTTAAGAGTAGATAAGGGGGTGTATTATTAATGGGAGGGTGATAATTCACAAAGATATTAAATAAATATGGTAATATGATGTATATATTAATAAAGAATAATAGTAAAATGAATTCAGATGAGTGTACAAATTAATTTTGTAGAACCCGCTCGAGTACATTGCTTTCGCTGCGTTATCCAAGATGTTTGCTGTGGTTACAACCTACCCATACCAGGTGGTACGGTCCAGACTTCAAGACCGCCATACCACTTACTCAGGAACTCTAGATGCAATACGTACAACATACAGGTATGAATGCCAGTGTTTTAAAATCTTATTCCATCATATTTTTTCAGTTGGCTTGTATTTAAGGAATTTAGCTATTTTTGAATGTTAAAAAGGTCTCCATGAATGATTGCCTCCCTTCTTTACAAAAGCTAAAGCCCTGACCAGCCTATCAAATTTTTTTTTTTAGTTATGATGTGCCTATATATGGTCATGATGTGGTGTTATCATGACTATATTTAGGCATGTCACATGCTTTTGTCAAACAAAATATGATATTTTGGACAGGCCTTGCAGATCTATCTTTGGATCCTTGGTTCAAATTCTGTCAAAAAGCTAGGATTTTTTTCTCCTGATAAAAACAGCTCTACTTTCTAATGCTTCATCCACACTATCTAATTGTATGCGACAAATTTGTGTAATGTGCCCATATATGGAGATGATGATGTCATATTACACCCAAATATGGGCATATCAAATTTATTTTGTCACTTACAATTTGATATTTTCAACAGAGCTTAAGAGTCATTATGAGACTTTGTTTATAAAGCATATCAGACTTGCCATCCCAAAAACCAATGTACCGTTGCTAAGTGTTAAAGTGAGTAGTTCGCATAAAAGTGTGCCAGTATTGTATAATTTAGTACAGAGAAACAGTAATACTTTGACTCACAACTTTAGCAATAGTTTGTGGATTCCAGTAAATGACTTATAATTTTAACGCTTATAATGTGGAGAATAATTATTTATATATTAAAAAGTTCATTTTCTTGTTTTGGTCACTGATGGTGGTTTTGGCATGGCAAGCCCCAAATATACAAATGAAAAGAATAGCAGATTGCTTCGGTGCTACAAAACAGTTTCCCTGGTATAGAAAAGAAATTAATTTTGTTGAAGTGTGAATGAATTTTTTTCATTTTTTCTTTTCAGAAATGAGAGTTGGAGAGGTTTTTACAAGGGAATGCTTCCCAACATACTGAGAGTCACTCCGGCTTGCTGTATAACTTTTGTAGTGTATGAGAATATGACATATTATCTTAAGAACAGATAGATAGCTGACGCAGTTAGGTAGGAATTTACAATGAAGAACATGCTGGCTACGGACAATTTTAAGGGAAAACAGAGTACCAAGGTTGGGCTTTTAAGACGATACAGATGATGGACGTCATCATATAAGGGGCTTGACATTTTAAAACCAGCAACAGCGACTAAAAAAATGGAAATTTACTTTTTAATACATTCTTATTCTCCACATTGTAAGCTTTAGAATGATGGGTAAATTACGAGTGTTATGGCTTCTTTGTACCAACAGTACATAATACTGTAACATTCTAATATGCTAAGTACTCATTTTAATATTTAGCAACAGTATTTTGGTTTTGGTATGGCAAGCCTCATATCATTCATATTTATATTCATTTTGAGTACCTTGGAGATAACAATTTTAACCCAAAAATGCGCATCATATCTTAGCAAGCTTTAATAAAATGCAATGATTGAGATAAACAATATAATATAGGTATATAATTATTCAAAGAATTTCTTCTGGTCTAATTTTATATATTTATTGCTGCATAATTGTATGGTATGTATTTTAGAATTTGAATTTCTTCACGGTACACTTTTGCATTGGATTGTAATAGCAATAATAAGGGGAGTCACATGATGAAATGTGACTTTACAATAATAAAGTAACTTTGAAGTTTGGTTTTTTGTAGAAGCATAAATACGTATTGTTATCAATGCTGCAATGTTATTATCTGGCATACCTCACAAATGTTATAATAATGTTTGGTGTTGTTTGCATTTGTTCTGTATCTAAGAGGAAAATAATCAAATCTCTGTTAGTACAATACAGGAATATTTTTTTTAAAGCTAAACCTTGAAACAGAATAATGAAGTTTTTGGCACAACCTTGAGGTTGGGATTTTGAAATCTTAGCTGTGCAAGTTGCTTGTGTTTTTAACCAAGACACTGTTTGTCTCTCTCTACCAAGGATTAAAAATGGGTACCTGCATATGGGAAGGTAAAACAGATTTGCACAATGTGGCCCAAACGAGAGAAGGGGCCTGCAAGCCTAGAGCTCCAGGTTTTGACCTTTACCTTAATGCAGAACCATGTTTGCCTGACATTTGATCATCCACAAGATGTTCAGATATTATTGGGAAAGAAAGTTGCAAAGGATTGTTAGATGTCTTGAATGTGCATGGTTTACCAAGATAGTAATACGTGCACATTGTCTTCTTAAATTAATATTAAATCATATTAATTCAATGTAAAAGTTTAAAGAATAAAAACACCTTTTATATAGACATAATTACTGCTTTAGCCATCATTTTGTAAGTCAATATTGCATCAAAAAAGAGGTTTGAGTTTAATTATGAACCATTTTCAAGATCTGAGAGAGCTAAACTGGTGTTAGCCACTGTGTGTGCACTGAACCATGGAGATCTCCAAGTCCCTGGTTTCCTTGTGTTTCAGCTGGAATGCAGTACTGTACTCTTCAGTAATGAGTAGAGATGTACTGCCCAATAACCACCAGGAGGACCCCACTGGAAATAATCTAGACTTCTGTGGGTGAAGAAAACATGAAATGACCTTGTCGTTTCATGTTTGAATCCTGGTGTGAATGATATGATTTTGAAATACAACTTTGTAGGAATAACCACAAATTAAAGGAAAATACTGTATGCAATTATTTATTTCTATAGCTCCATTGCTGGCTCCATCACAATACAAAAAAAAAACATTCACATAGCCATTTACTTAGTTGGTGGCCTGTAACAATGTTTACCAAATGCACCAAAGCTTTCTAATACACAAGCAGGTGTACACTCTACACCCTGTAACAATTGTTTTGTTTTTGCTTTATTGCAGTATTTTGTTGCCCAGCTTTTGGTACCTGTGACCTACAGGCAAAAAATTAAAGAGACCCAAAGGGAGACTTATACTAAATTCACATAAAAACATAGCAGCAGAATACATGTTATCTATTGGAGTTGAAATAATGTCAGAGCATGGATCATTACAATATTGGTTTTGATAAATTGACTAAACACAAATCACGGCACACAAATTTGGTTTACGTTTTACATACAAGCTTCCTTCAAAATCCCTGCAACATAAGGGTCCAATACAACCTAACAATCATGGAGAGAGGCATCCATTAAAAGCCATTATATTAATTTATGTGGCATATTTTTTTGCGTCCCAACTGGCCCTTTCAATTCCTCTTCAGTAATTTAATACTTTTGTTCATCCACTGAGTTCCCCAGCTCTGACTGCATCATTGTAAGACTTCTCTTTTTCTTCTGGGGCGAGTTTGATCAAGTCGTCAATACGCAGGATTGTGATAGCTGCCTCGGTAGCGAACTTGAGTGACTTAATCTTGCAAATACCAGGCTCAAAGACTCCAGCTTGTTTATTGTCCCTTACTACTCCTTCATATAAATCAAGGCCAACCCTGAAAATAAATTAACATATCCAACTAGTGACATCCTTATTTGCATAATGAAAAATATCACATGTACAGAGTTCAAAAAGAACAAAGGCCATAACAAAAGTCTTATTATTTGTTAGGTGGCATGCATCTCTCTGCGTCCACAAGTGTTGTAATGAAGATCTTGGCATGTGCACTAATTTGCCAAAAATAAAATTTAATTTTTATTCGAAATCATCATTATTGGCGGCAGGTTTGCTAAACAAGGTACAAAAAAGTTTTGCCGTAATATTGCAGAAATAGCATTGTAGATGGTATGTTCTTACCACTTGAGGTGAGCTTTATCAGCCTTCACTTGGGACAGGTTGTGGTAGGCCCTCAGCTTAGCCACCAGGTCAATGGAATCTTTAGCAGCATTCACTGCCAGGATCTTGGGTATCACCAGTAAAGAATTGGCAAACTCTGCAATCGCCAACTGCTCACGAGAACTCTACAATAAAATACAAGTAATTAATAACCAAATATTAATGTAAACCTCGCTTCAATATCTGCTTAATTGGCAAATAAAACATAAGCTAGATTCTAAAAGGATGTGTCTTGTCAGGAGCCCTTTGACGAATTGGCAATTGGCACATCGGTTGAACTCCCAACTTTGAGGTCAGGGGTTCAAAAATCTCACTGTCCAAGTCACTTGTGTCCCTGGGCAAGACACTTTAATCTATGTTTGTCTCTCTCTACCCTGGAGTATAAATAGGTACCTGATAGGATGTTGTGGCATTAATTGTAGTAGTTTTGTGCGCTGAGTACACACGCACAACTAGGTATATTCCTCAGTGAGCAGAGAAGGTTGTACTTTGTGCTGGTTTGCCATTGCATGCTATTTAGTGATCAGGAGAAATAATGCTCAGTGCCTTTTTTCATTAATTTGGAATTGGCACTATATAAATCTTTAGCATTATTATTAGCATAAATACTAAACAAAACATGAAGATTACCAGTGAGGTCGCCAGGTTCTCCAAGTAAATAGAAAGAGCAGCCTCGACAGCTCCTCCTCCTGGTACCACAGTCTTGCTTTCCAGCACTCTTTTTATAACACACAATGCATCATGGACTGACCTCTCCATCTCATCGCACTGGAAGTCATTGGCTCCTCGCAGGATGACGGATGCCGCACTTTTTACTTTGGGTCTAATAAATGAACAAAGGTCACAGCCCAACTCTATAAGCAATTTTGCTGGTTTTTGGGAAGGGTACAATAGCATTTAATAATTTTCATGTGAAAATTGAGTGATTTTTGCACCCCAAGTTTCAAATCCCTGACATCTAATTGACCCAATTATCAGATTTGCCACAAAGACATAAAACCTTCTTTTTGATAGAGAGTGTTCACACACAATTTGATATTAAAACTTTCATTACCTAATCATTTTTAGAGCTGGGAAAAATTTGTTAACAAGCTACTGTTTTTGCACAGGAACAAGCATTTGATGTTTAGGAAACTCGGTCTCATCACAAAGTAGAGTTGGTATTTATTTTATTTAGTTAGTTTTTTTTTTGTTAGAGAATGCAGGACAAAGAAAAACCTATAAGGCCCTGCAAAGGAGCAATTAAAAGTTAGGCTAGAGAGGTTAAACGGAGCTTGTTGATGAGATTTTGAAAGTCTTGAGGTTAAAGGATGAAAGGAAACAAGAAGATGGGCGAGAACTCCAGAGAATCAAAGTTAGAATGAGTAAGTAAGATTTGAACACAGGACTCTGGTTTGGAAGGTAAGCACAATGACCATCAACCCAATACAAAGGCAAACTTACGATTTGATTAGGATAAGTTCATCATCGCAGACTCTCTCCTGGACAACGGCTTCAGCATGGCCTAGCATGCTGGCATCAAAGCTCTCCTCGCCTTCCAAATTAGCTAAGGTTACCAACAATTGTGCTGAAGAAGAGAAGACAATTTAAATAGGATATAAAACCCATCAATCATAATAGTTGTGATGGGTATACCATTGTATAGAGCGCCCTCTGGAGCCAAAAAAGGGAAAAAGTTTGAATAAATAGCGGATGAGAAAACTGTTGGAACTGGGGTGTCTTGTTTGTACTTATATTGTTTGTTGTGAGAAGCTGTATCAGAACCAGACTATTAACATTTTTCAGAAACATGAAATTATGAAAATATATTATGCAAATATTATGAAAGTATAACATATACATCATTAAATACAGGTTTTTATAATGTGCCAAATATCAAAGATATTGTTTGCCTCTGCTAAATCCAGAAACGGATTTAGGGAGGGCGAATTGGGAACCTTTCCCACCTACTAGTTTTGCAACTGCCGCCTTTTATTTTTTAACAGAAAAAAAACCAAAATGGCATATAAATACTAAAGGTTTCGTAACTGCATGTACAAAACATGAATCATACCATTATTGAATCCATATATCTGTATAATTACATTTAGGCCTATTAAGGAATTGATGCCCCTTATTCCAAAAATTCTGGATCCACCCCGAAATCTAATTTATCTTTGATACTACATACCTCCAGTTGCTTTAGCTATCCTCTTCAGATCCTGTTTCCTGCACCGCCTGACAGCCATTGCACCAGACTCTACAAAATACTTTAGACAAAGGTCATCGATACCCCCAGTGGTAAGGATGACATTAGCCCCGGCACCGACAATCTTCTGAATACGTTCTTTAGTGATGTCAGATTCCCTACAGAAAAAATAAGTTTGTTTTCAATTAACCAAGCTGATACTTTATAATGCCTTTATCATTATTTTTATTATACGCAGCAAAGGATCATGGGTAAACATCTGTGTTCTGGTCTCTTATACACATCTAGATGTGTATAAGAGACAGAGGTTGTACTTTGTGCTGGTTTGCCATTGTTAAAAGGCTTAAAGAGCTTCAGAAGAGTAAACCAACCTCTGTCTGATAGCATCTAATTTCTCAGGATCTTCAACAATAACATGAACCCCTAGATGCATTTTTGCTTTCTGAAGACTGAAGTCTAGACATGCAATCTTAGCATTCTGAACCTGCTTCTTCATGGCTGTATATACAAAGTAGGGAAGAGTAATGGTATTAGAATAAAACTTTTAATAATGTATTATAAAAATAGGCTCCTGATAAGAGTTCCTGCAGAAATCAATGCTATGTGTAAAGGCCAACTCAGACAGCGTCTTACGACGCAGCCCGACAGTATTAAGCCATCGTAAGAAATATTAAACATGTTTAATATTCTACGACATGACTGCCCCCAATGCAAACCATCGCGTCTGCATTTAACTCACACAGAAGCGCTGCGACAACAAATCGCTTCGGGCTGCATCATACAGCGCTGTCTGAGTTGGCCTTAAGTTCAAAAGGGTACTTTGGTATGCTGTCAAATGAAATGAACCGTAACACATTCCATTTTATAGAAAAATTCCACTACCACAGCACTGTGCAAGTGCAGTATACTAACAAATTCATGAATATTATTAAAAAACATGGAAATGCCAGTTTGTTTAAAGAAACACCCGATGAAGCCAGCATATACTGCTGACGAAAGCTTGTGTATTAAATAACTGAAGTTAGTCAGTCTATACGGTGCTACCAGTGTTTTTATTTCATTAAAAAATTAAATGTCAGAATATTAATATTTGAAATCAAATACCGAAAGGTCCACTGATTAATCTCAGATAAGATAGTATAATACATACTCCAAGTATGGAAATACATCATAATGATGATGACATAATTAATGTCGAAATATTGAATGCCGACGCGATGGCATGCATTTCGATACTTGGAGTATGTATTAAACTATCTTATCTGAAATCAAATATGTAACAGCAATCGTTTCATTTCTTTCATACACAATCTCAAAAGCCTTGAGAGATTCCATGAACTTATTCCATATCACTATAACCCATTAAATCAATAACAGCTGCTAATAAGAATCAACAAATACATGGATGTTAATAATGTAGTCTGTAATTGAGGTACATGTATTGTATAAACTGTCTATTACCAATTTTCAAGTGAGAACACCCCTCTAACTGTTGTATGGTTTTTTTGAATGTGCAATAAAAAAATACTTCAAATAACAAATTTATATTATATAATATAACAATATATTATATAACAATTCTGTTTATTTTTTAAGCAATGCTAATCCTAACCTAAAAGGAAGAATAAAATCTTGAACTGCAAAAAGGAATTAATTTGAATTACCTTGCGAGGCCACAGTACAGTTGAGAGCATATCCATTGATTAGCTTACTCTCAGTACTGCTGCGGCCATGCGCCTTCAAGATATTAATAGCCTTGATTGGGTACCGTACACTACCCTTCGCATCTGTGGTTTTAATAGCCATCGTTGCATCCACCAGTAAATTAGCCCAGAAATCTGAATCCCTACAGGTCACAAAATAACAATTAAGTTAGTATGGAACACTCAAAATAAAGTAAAACACACTACTGGGGTGTATTACTTTGGCCTTTACAGTAATTAACTTATGTAAAAATCAATTAACTTCCTTCATAGCTGGAATAAAGACAAAGTCCCTTTATAGAGCTTCAAATGCTTAAAAGGAAATGCTCCTCAATATTTGTCTTCAAAATTTACCTTTAACAATACTACCCATTCTTAAGGCACACGTAGCCAAACCCATAACAGCCTGGTTCTTCCAATGTATAATATTGGACAGGGAAAAAGAACTTTTTTATATCGATCATCCAAAAGCTAGAATGAACTACCACACAAATTAAAAATTAATTTTGAAGAGATGTCGACTTCTTCATTCCAAAACCATTAAAAATAATATTTTCCAAATTTTATTTAAATAATTTATTCTTTGTTTTATTTCTACTGTATATGTTTCTCTTCACTGTACCACTTTGAAAATCAGTACTATAGTACTGAAAGTGCCTACAGTATAAAGAAAGATTAAATAAATAAATAATAAATATTGGAGTTTTTATTGATTTTAAAGCTCTGTCCCCACTATCAAATTCTATGCGACAAATTTATTTGATTTTTAACTTGTAATTTACAAGCAATTTGTCCCCTAGGCCACGATATGTGGAATTTTAAAATAAAATTGAATTGAAATTGAACTGATGTGCCCATTTATGTGCATGATGATGTCATATTACACCCAAATATGGGCATATCACATTTTTTGTCACATAAAATTTGATAGTGTGGACAGAGCTTAAGTCAATGGACCCTTTCAAAGTGTCAATCAAACCTGACAGCTGACCAATCAGAACACGGCTAGGAATACCGCGTGCTTGTCTAACAAGCACACATGTCCCACAAATGCACGTGTTTGCGTATGTTTTAACACTGTCGTTTTGTGGGACCTTAGCAACAATATCCAAGGGGCGGGGCTTAGCATAAAGCTCCATTTGTAAATCTATTAACCGGGGATGTGATAATATAGGATATCTTCTTGGACCGCTGTTACCAAGTAAATATTTACACCATCTCAGTAATTAAAATATAAAATAATTACAACAAAATAAACTACAATATATATTAAAACTTACCTTCCAATTAATTTTGATGACATGGCGGTCTTGGCAGCATTGATGACACTTTCTCTTCCAAGATCTTCTGTACTAATAGTGAGATGCTCTTGAATGTATTTACAGGCTTCCCTTTATTAAATAAAAAGCATAGTTACTAAGACATAATGAAGTCTTATAAAATTCACCCCTTCATAAAGCTCTGTCCAAACTATCAAACTATTATTTTACAGAAACATGTGACATGCCTAAATATGGTCATGATGACATCACAATCATGACCATGTATAGGCATATCATGTCTACATATGGACATACAAATTGTTTTTGACAAAGAAAATTAGATAGTCAGTCTGAACAGGGCTTTTGCCACCTTATATGAACATGTCACCACACCAATAATAATCCTTCACACTTCCCACACATTACAATAATGTTAACAACAATAATAATAATAATAATAACAATAATAATAATAATAATAATAATAATAATAATAATAATAATAATAATAATAAGATAAAAGCGCACAAATCTACTGCAGTAGTGCTCAAGGCGCTACAGGAAGGAACAAAAAATTACCATGAAACTAAAGCTACAAGAAAAAAAAAACCACACCATCCAGCCCACGGATTTCACATCGGCAATCGTCGACCATATTGCCGAGCCAGAATTGCTACAGGACGGCAATTTTTTGCCAACCTAGGCCTAGATTTCTTTGCTTCAAAAACTGCTTGGAAAGTAAAAAACAGGCTATAACAGACACTAAATTTAATGTACGTCGTCAAACCAAGGAAATTGGTGGTTCATAAAACAGATTTCTTTGTACAATAACTATTTTAATAGGCATGTAGTAAATACGATTTGTGTACAATCGTCTTGTCTTTCTCGCCTAGTCATTTCGTAGGCTAGGCCTAGGTAGGAATGACGCTAGTCAGCCAAGGCCTACAACATCGCCCAATTGAAGCCACGTGGGCCGCATAGATTGTAATGCTTCTAAATCTATTATTTGTCTTCATTTTACAGTATTATTATATTTAAAATGTTGTTTATTATCTAAAAATAACAAAATTCAACATATTTTAGGCCTAATCCTACCGTCTGTTTAAATAAACGCAATCACGATCGCATCGTGACTTCACTACCGACAAGTACTGTACATGTGTGGAAAATCCCTGATAGATCATTCTGGG